TGCTAGGTTAATGGTTAGACTCCGTGATCTTAAGGGTCTTTTCCAACTTAAATGATTTTATGATTGTATACCTGATTAGTTGTAATTTTCTACATTTATAAACTATTTAATCTCATAAAATCTTACTGTTATTACCTTTTAATCCATTCATATTTGCAGTATAGTCTTAGTACTTACACTACAGACCAGTCAAAGAGTAAAGGAGGATGTCTGACACAAATACTATACAGATACACAAAAGCCCACAAGTTTTAAAAAACAAATAACCCTACAGAAGTCATATTTTAAGTCCACTTAGATTAATTTTTTTTTGAGTTTATGATAGTTTATTCTTATGTTTAAAAAATTTTGTTAGGATTACACCCCCCCCCCCAGTTATTTTGGGTATATGAGTGTGCAGTTTGTTAACCCAGATTTTCCTCTTAATTTGATATAAAAATGAGTGCAAACAAACATCAATAGCGTAGGAAGAGAAAGCCTCTGCATACATACCTGGCCAGAATCTCCAGTGCAGAACTCTGCAATATCACATTCATTCACTGCGTATCGACAATCATAGCCCCGTGGGAAAAACTAGAAAATTAAGAGTATAGTTCAGGACTAAGATTATGTCTACAAAAGATGTTCCTTTTCATTCTACCTAAAACAGTCTTTGAACTATAACAGGCTGCACATGACTTCCATGGACAACTGAAAAGAACAATAGATATACTGCAGCAACACTCACAAGACACGACGTATTACAGCAGGGTCCATCACTACAATGAGCTCCATTAGAAAGAGAGCACTTCTTACAACAGTCTGCATAGCATTCCTGAAGAAAATATTAAGCAAAATTTTTAGTTTTCCATTTTAAATAAGTTTTTTTCTTCACAATCTTTCCAACAAACTATTATGCACCAGCAGACAAAAGATTCAGTTCAGCACTGATGACTTGAAATTATCAGCTGGAATAATCCTTTGCAGTGCTCAAATACTAAAGTAAAGGGGAAAAAGTGGCATATATGTGCTAGCAACAAGGTGATTCACACCTTCTAAAGCCTCTTCATAAGCGTGGAATAGCCTGTGCCAAATGCATGCTGCTTAGTCAAATTGCATTCAGTGCAGAAAAAAGATTAAGAAAACTAATTATGGGTGCAATTATAATTAAAAACTAGAACTGGGACTCAAACCTACAGGGCAGATTTTTGCAAAAACATTATTGGAATATTTCCAGAGAAGAAAACAACAGTTTACTTATTCTGTCCAAACACAGGCACCTATCTCCAAAGAATAGATAAGGAGCCTACCACTCCAGGCACGCTATCCAGGAAAAGTAAAGGGGTAAGTACTTCTACAGTGCAATTCAAAAATTGCTGGAAAACAGCTACATCTTGCCATTAGTGTAACAGGAACTGTTCTGAGGACAATCTCTGTCTTTGTACTCATTCTCACTTGAAAAAAATGTTTAAACACAGTCCTTGAATGAAGTTGTTCCCTAACAATAGGCAAAACAAATTCACTTCCATAACCTTTCCCCCTCCCTCACCAGTCACATAATTTATCTTAATATATTTTGTAAGAAAGACTTGTGGGGTAATATGTAACTCTACTTGCCATTCGGAAACCGCAATCACATTCTTCTCCTGCTTCTACATATCCATTTCCACACTCAGTGGTTTCAAAGAGCTGAAAGCAAAAAAGCCCCCCCCCCAAAGTAAGAATAAAACTAGTATCAAATGACTTTTCTGTCCCACATAGCCCACTTCCACAATGCTACAGAAATATGGTCTCACAGAGAATATATATGCCATGCTACTGCAGTGGGGAAGGCAGGATGTTTTTCGAGTTCTGCTAGTCAGGATTGTTCAGACATGAAAGATGCACAGCTAAATCACTTGAATACTAGCCCTCTTTAGGAGAATACTGATCTCAAAATTATGATAAACAGAGACAATAAAATAATACTCATGGGGATAACATTTAAACATCATTCCTATTCTATGGACTCCCATTTCTCTGACAGTTCCTTCAAGAAACCAGTCAGCAATATGATCTCTGGGATCTACTCAGGTACCCATACTTGCTCATGCAACTAGCTACTGTCTATTCCAGTGTAACATGTTTGTGCATGAAAATAATAAACATTAAGAAACACTGCCAAAAGGAAGTTCTATGTGCCTTATTAATAAGTTAGAATAACACAACCACATACAGATAGTGCTAAACAGTTAATTGTAGGACCAGATATATACAATACAGATAAATTCTACAGTTCAGGATGATAAAAATTCTGTACTGGTTTCACATATCATAATTTTGATTAAAGGTGATTCAGGATATTTTTCAGTCTTGTCACACAAATAATTTTGCAAAAACCTTGTCTGTTTTCCATATAATAATTCTGCTTTTAAATCCTATAAAGGTATCAGGAATCTCCAATTTAACCAGGATATTAGCAACAAAAACACAATCATCACTAGAACATGGTTGAAATGAAAATTTAAAAGTTAACAAGTTAAAATGAGAACAGATAAATCTACAGCTAGATAAAGGTGAAAGATGCAAATAAACATGTTCTTTCTGCATGGGCTTAGTGGCAGTACAGCTGTTGAGGATTATCAAGATACAAAATCTAGCATATAATACAATACAAATTATTTATAAACTTGGATGGAATTCTTCCTTGATACTTTGATGGGGGGGAGGGAGGCAAGAATCATAACGCCTAATCAAAAAGAAAGAAAACATCTTACTTTCGTTGCATAAACTACATAGGTAATCAATACCACCTACAATTTTGGGTGCCAGCAGCAAAACTACACTGAAGCAATACTCATATGTACTCTTCTTCACTAGTAATGTCGACACAATTCAGAAAAGTGAAATTTCTTTTTTTTCCCCTCTATAAGTCACTGTTAACTACTATGCTTCAGTGGAAATAGCAAGATCTGTTATTCTGAACCTGAAATTAAGTTCTCCATCAGACCTAGTTATCTGACCTGTAGGCCATAAGAAAACAAAAAGGGGTCAGAGTAATGCAAGAAAATACAGCACACACAAATTTCCTACAGCATTAATCAGGAACCACCAAATGTTCATATACATGTCAGAGAATAACTAAAAGGTTGTAATTAAAAATGACAACATGGTGACTGCTTAACACAACTATATTTTATTTACCTAAAGATTAAACACACCATTTTCTACCTTACCTCCCAACCTGCAAATAACAGGATTCAGAACATTGTATGATTCCACCCCCCACCCCACCCCAAAGGACTTTAACTTCAAAGCTGTGAAACACTGACACAGATAACACACAAAGATAATTCAACCATTCTCCTGGCAGCATTTTCACGGAAGTAAACCAGATTTTTTACTGGATAAAGTCAATTTGACAATTTGTTCATATCACCTTGCTAGACAGCCATCATCAAAAAATGAAGCTGTGTTTTTCTTTCTCCCTACTTCCTCTTTTCTGTAAGAATTCTTACATTCTTATTCTAAGATTGCTACCCTGGGAAAAGATTAAAAAACACTCTAACAAGCAAAATTTTTTTAGTTAATTGTGCAAGGTGGTGGTCTATCAAAGGGTACAGCACACTAAACAGAATGGCCTAATAGTCTCACATGGTATTAAATTCTACAAGGACAGCAAGTTTGACACCATAATTAAATAGAATATTAATACTTTGGATTCATCTTACTTTGCAAAAAGAGCTGCATGGAATATTTTTATACTATTCAGCTTTAGAAGGATGTCAAGCTAATATTGCCTTGGAAAAAATTATGACCTTGGTACGTTTTTAGGCGAAAAAAGCAATGGATGGTACAAGGAAACAGCTATAAATTACAGCGTTTGCTGGAAGTACATCGGAAATGAAATGAAGTGAACTTTGAGAAAAACCACAAGCTGCTACTGTCTATATGAAGTAAGCTATTGATTTCTAATTCCTAGTGTGGTAATTGGCAATCTTTTTAACAACCTCAGGCAAGAAGTCCAAGAATTAAGTGTATGTGGAGCACACACTACAGCCTCACTTCTGGATTTATTTTGCACTACTTCCAGCTTAATAAGTAGTGCATTTATGCTGAGTGGGGATGTATATAGCAGTGAAAAATGAACTGCAATATTTGTCATTATCTGAGCATGAAGAATTGATGGAAAACAAGTTGCATTCTTCTTAAGATTATTTTTAAATGTTATGGAAATGAACAGTCAGCTAATGCAAGCAATCTCAAGAAAATACGCACATAGACATTTGAATAAATTTGAGAACAGATGGGTGTTCGTGAAATTACTACATTTTCATTACAATGTTTAGCAGAGGTGCTGACTACCAACATATTTATTACCTTTGTCGGTTTGTTGAAAAGACAAGCACCTCCCCCTCGAAGTAAAAATTCTTTGTATTCTGCAATGCTGCATTTGGAGAATTTCCTGGAATGGTACACCCTAAAATGGCAAAAAATTAGCTGGGTAAATGCCTTGAAACACCAACAGTTACTGGAAGGGGGTGGAGGAGTCAAAACATTTTTTTAATACTGTAAATCCCAGTTTCTTACAACCACTGTGTGCAACAGTATGTCAGCTCAATCTTATTCTCAAACAGTAAAATCAGAACAAAATAAGAAGTTTTTAAACATTTTGCATTTTTACATTTCTGTTATATGGATCAGCAGTATATTAAACTGTAGTCTTCTAATCTTCTTAATAAGGTGAAAACCCACATTACCATAATAGCTGCTATGGATCCTCTCGATTGCATGCATAATACGGTGTTCTCTTAAGTTTGTTTTCCTTGCAGCTTCAGTTTAAAAGATAGATTACATTCCAGATCCCTGATTTCATGACAGGGTTTTAAAACTGTTCAATTCATCTGATCCTGTCAATAAGGTTACTTTTGAAAGTAAAAGTAATTATAGCCATAAAAACAGCTGTATAGGATCAGACTAAAAATCCACTTTACCCAAATCCCATCTCTGATTTTGGCCCTGAGGATATGCCCATAGAAGAGTAGAGAACAGAGCACTGTACTACTACTTGCAGAATATTTTTCCAGCTTCCAACAATTTTCAGCTCAACTACTTTCTCAGGAAGCCGTATTTTGTCCTATTTAATAATCCTCATTGTATTTTCTCCCATAAATTTGCCCAACATCTTTTAGCATCTACAAGATGCTACAGCAAGAAGTTTCACGGCTTAATTACAAGACTGGTAGAAGAACAACTTCATCCTGTTTGTCCTGTCACCTGTTTGCTGGTCTCATTTCACATCCCCTAGTTCTTACAGTGGAAGAAACAGTAATAATTTGCTATGTTGTTCATGATGTTACAGACTTCTCCTTATTTCCTCATTTCCCAGCCTGATGAAAACATACTTTATTAGTCATTCTCACACACAAACTGTCTGATATTTTAATTAGCCATGTTTTGAGATCTGGGAATGAGAACCATTCACAATATTAAAGGTAACCATGCCATAAGGAGGTTCTCCATTCCTTTCCTAGCAGCTCACTGCTACTAAGCTGACATTTCCGCATTGAATTATACTATATATGTAAAAAATGTCTTCTGGCACTGATGGAGTTAAGTGAAAAAGGTTTTACACTGCAGCTAATTACTCACTCATTCCATTAGTCAGTCCTTTTTCAGCTTCTGGGTGACTATCATCTGCTCCTGGCATTTATTTTTTTTTACTGTTACCTTACCTACAGAAGTTTGTTCCACAGCCTCTTCTTCTGATATTTCCATCTGAGACTGGTACTTCAGTGAATTCACCATAGGAAGGAAGCTAGTATCTATTCTGATCAAAGCCTTACTTTGGATTCCAGAAGCAAACTTACCGAATAATTTTCTGTTGCATACGGTGCCTGACAATTACAAGTCTACAGGAAAGCCACACAGCAATTCTACTGAAGAATGAATTTCCAAATACTGTATGAAGAAACTAAGCTAATTCTGTCCTATTTATAACTAATTTTCTCCATGATTTTTGCAATCAAGCTTCCACAGTGAGCAAGAATTCTAACAGGAAGTGATTTATGAAACTCAAAAACCTATGTTTCAGAAGCCATGCTTTTCTGATCAATTGCTTACAGTATAGATAAAAGAATCTCTGGCAGTGTGTAAGGGTAGAGGGCAATGAAACCTGGTTCCCTCCCATATAGATGCGCTTCCCCCTCAGACTTCACTGACCATTTAGCTAAGGATTTGAGAGCACTTGCTGAAAGCTTCACGTTTCTACTTTTATTCATTGGAACAGAAGTAGAGAGATCTATTCACTCAAAATTAGAATTTTGAAGGAATTGGGGGAAAAAAATAATTAAAATTTAGGAGGAAAATAGAAATATCACTTATCAAAACTGTATTATAACACTTTTTCAGCAGCACATAAAAAGTATAACTGGACTTATTTAATAAAAAATATACATTCTTTACTTTTCAATCATTGTAAGTGTGGCAAAACATTAGTGAGTACACTGCATTGCACTTCAAAATGTAAGATTTATGAGTAACTTCTTAAAAAGTGAATAGCAAAGGGAATGAATTGCTGAAAGTTGAAATCATTGATCTGTATGTTTGGGTTGTTCCAACTGCTTCTAGTTTTGCATTTATTAGTACTAAAACACATGGACAAAACCCAATACGCAAATACTTATGACATAATGTAAACTATTAACTCATTCCAGAGCCCTCAATTACTGATAGTTATGACATACCCCGTTTCCTCCATGATGCAACCACCCCAGGATTCAGTGCAGTCACACTCTTCTCAGGCAAGACCAAAATACAACAGAAAAGGAAAGTAGTTATAAATATGCTTAAAATAAAGTACTCACTATAAAAAGAGACCTTGACTAATTATACAAAGGTTAGATGGTTGCTTGGCTGTACAGATTCTAGCCCTAAAATGGAAGCCAGCCCACTTGAAGAGACACTAACATACTTAACATAAATGCAGTACTTTCAAATTACTATATATGCAAGTTCTTAGCCTCAACACAAAGTTTCAGGCAGTATAAAAAGCCAAAAATAGCTGGCAACGTTCTTCCTTACATGCTCTCAAAACAGGCAGCAGAAGGGTATGTGCAGTACCCATGATACTGATGATTAAAAATGTTCACATTTCCTCCTCCCTAAAATGTGTACAGAACACCCTGAAGGAGATCTGTTACTGGACAGGCCACGTTTTTCCCCTTCAGCACAGAATTATTAATAGCAATATGTGTATCAGCCAATCATTCATTAGAAAAAGTAGTTGAGTGAAAATGGATTTACAGTTTACTTACAGCTATAGCATGTAAGTCAACAGCCACCAAATTCATCAAATAAAACCAAAAGATCAACATCTTATGGCTGGTAAAACAGTTACAAACTGCCCGTAAAAATTATCTACAAAAGAAGTAATATTTTCAAGAAGAAAGGTTTCCATAGTGTTTCTCCACAGAAATATTCACAGATTATTTATATGGTTATTTCTGCCCTATCCGGGTCTTTCATTAATCTTTCTCTACAAAGACTATCCAAATAAGGAACCTAAGCTATCATTTTAAAAACCTCTATCTTACAGTTAAAAAAGATACTGATTTCCAAACTATGTGAACTCTGTTTTACCTGTAATCAACAGACAATCATATAGAAAGTATTTTAGCACTTTGCAAGTTTACACAATTCAAAAGCAATGCTTTACAAAACAACAACATTCGCTACTTTTCCACAGTTTCCTAATTCACAGATTTCTGAAGTGATTACAAAATAAAGTCAGCATTATCATTCACATTTTTAAAGACGAAACAGATAAAGTAGCAAAATTGCTTACAAGATGTGAGTGGAAAAACCCAACAATTTTCTTTAGCCCCAAAAAGGCCTTTTCCAGCAGCTGTTACACCTACACTCTACATCTGTTAAGGCCACGTCAATCTAATCTTCTGGCTGCGAAGCAGCAAGGTAACAAATAGAGCAAATGTCACCCTGGACTAGGTTATAGCGTCTTACTGTTTCTTCAATTATCAATCAGGTATTTTTGTATTTTAAGAAGTCGGTGATAGTTCTACAGGAATTACAGATTTCATTATAGTAGATAAGGAGTTCTGAGTTAAATTAATGGTGTTTTTACAATTATACCTTTGAATGTTGGTTATGAATCTCACCTCCTGACACAGGACATCACTGAGGTCATTGCAAAATGAGTGCTAAACTGGTGGTTCTTAGTTTGGTTAAACTCAAATTTTGATGCATATATTTTCAAAAGCAGCAGTTCTTGTTCTACAGTTACAGCAAGTTTGGTATTTTTTCAAATATTACAAAAGAAGAGTTTATATATTTAGCTAAGGAGGACAAAAGAAGACTCCATGTCCATGCACATACTCTGTTTCCTGGCAGCTGGGTCCCATTGTATTCCAAGGTTCTGAGCAAGACTTTGTGCTAGTTCCTGCGCCATGGCCAAAGGGAGGCCATACTGCATTTCAAGGGGAGCGCAATTAAAAAAAAAACAACACAAAAAACAAACCATAAGTTATTGTAATGAACACTACACCCGCTCATTCTGGCTTACCATATACCTACTACTTCAGTAATTCTGTACAGCCAATCACAATTCTGTGTGCATGTAAGGAAAATAAACACAAGTACATAACAGAAAAAATTTTCCTCTCTTAACCTGAGGGAATCCCTGTCCACTGGTTAACCTACAGAAAGGAATCTGATACATATGTGAAATAGTTTTGTATAGTATGATTAACCCATGTTAAAACAGGAGATTTTCATTATTGATTTAACACTGCACTGAGGGGGAAAAAAAAAAAAATCAATACACAGGGACCAAATTTTTCTAGTTTTAATGTTAAAAAAAAATCAGTAAGAATTACATGTCATCAGCACCTTAGAAAATCAAGCCTCTTATAGTGAGAAGACCCAAAAGGATGTTCAGTGCTATATTTCAAATACTCCTGTCTGAGATTTTTGGGTCTAAATTTCTGTCAAATATACTAAATGCCAATTTAAGATCTTAGGAAGAGAATAATACAGACAGGAGGAATGCTTTTTAAAAAGAAAAGCACAGTGAGCAATAGTTTAATGATGGTAGAAGAAGGTTGGCTGTGAGAATCCTAATTTTTTAATATGTAAGTTATCTTTAAAGCCCTGAATACTGAAACATACAAACTCTGAAGTTATAATGTACTTAGTCGTGAAAAAAAATTACCTCATTCACTCCTACTCCTCTGGTCACAGAGCAAACCCCTCCAAAGTAACTTAAGCTGCTCCTTTTATAATGAAATGTCACATTCCTTGCAGACAAACAAAAATAAAGAAAATACAACACATTGGCATTGGGCACCAGGAACTTATTGAAAGATCACACTTTCACACATACTATGATACATTGCATCCACATTAATCCTCATCTAGCATCAAAAGCAACTGCAAGTTTATAAACAGACCACCAGCATCAAAAGAGTTGATTAGATACAACCTTTGACAAAAATACTATTTTTATCTTGTAGAGTCAGAATCAGTCCCAACCCACAAACAAACCAAGCAGAGAAAGCTACAGTACCAGATTTCTAAGAAAATACAATGATAACACTACATTCCAATTTATAATCTGTCAGGAAGGAATTCTGTACTGAAATGTATCAGTGTTGAGAATTTTTTTAATTATGCTCTTAATCCAAACCAATACAAGTTCTAGTTTCAACTCCAAATAAAAAGACTGAGAAGCCTACCTAAAGGGAAAGTAATTCAATACTGCTCTTTAACCCTGCCTCCTTTCAATTATTGTTAGTAAGCCCCAAATAATTTAATTAAATTAATGTAATCTGGAAGATATAAATTAAATATAGATATAAAATAACTATAAATTATTACGAATGACACTTATTTTAACTTCATATGCATAATAATAAATCTATGCAGCCTTGGGCACCCATAGCAAATGACCCTAATCTTTGAAAATTAAATCCTTTTACAACAGCAGAACCAATGTCCCTTTTGTTTTTTTAAATGACAGGATACTCCAGACAGGTATATATTTATTTTTTCAGAACATTCTGACAGCCATCAGAACTTTCAAACTGCAGCTTAACTATACTAAATGCTTAAAGCTAGATGCTTTACAATGGACAGAACTACAGCAAGGGCTGAGGTTAGCAGGCACTTCTGGAAATGGTCTAGTTCAACCCCCTTGCTTCAAGGGGGCTCAGCTGGAGCAGGCTTCTCAGGGCCATGTTCCATTTGTTTTTTTAATATCTACAAGCATGGACACTTCAAAGCCTCTTTGGGCAACCTGCTCCAGCATCTGGCCACCTTCACATTGAAAGTTATTTCCCCAATGCTTACAAGGAATTTCCTGTATTTCAGTTTGTATTCAGTACCTTTCACCATGCACCGAGAAGACCCTGTTTGCCCACTGGCAAACTCTTCAGCAAAGGACACAATACATGCATAAAAGTAATTAAGAGTGCACATCATCAGCACTTTGCATATTTTATGAAAAATGCAATTAGCATTTTAATGCAATGCCTGTATTAAGGCAGTACAGCTATGACAGAGGCTGGAGGAAATTCTTCATCCCCTATTTTTATCTTCCTGTGCAGAAGAAAAATGACAGAAGAATCACAGGGAAGACATTTGTCACTCCATCCTCATGTATGTCATGCTGCTGGCAGAAGGCTTAAGATCTTTATGCTGCACAAGTGAACACACTCTTCCTCCTCTTTGCTTACAATGCCATGAAGTAAAAAAAATACTGTTGCCCAAGGTTGATGTGCCTAATGGTGCAAGCAGAATCTCCCCTCACAATACATTTTGTCTCAGAAAACAATTCATTACAGCTCTAAAGAAGACCTTTCATTAACTCATTAAATCATCACTGCAGCTACATATGTGAATAAATACAGTAACTGGAATGCTCTTGTGGCAGCACATAATTCTGTCAGCTCTGCCCCCTCCTGGTCTTTACTGGGAAAACAGTACATTACACACCTGATTAGCAAAACTAGGTGTCCTTAAGGGCTCACGAGAAGACACTTCAAATACGTGACACTGTCTCCAGGTTGCAAAGACATTAAAATTTCAGTATAGATATATATCAACATGACCAGGGTATATACTACACCTATTAAAAATAGACTAACCTGTTAAAAAATAGATTAAGCTTCCTAAGGAAGGCAGATGTTGATTGATGTAGTGACTACCGAGCAAAAAACTAAGCAAGAAGAGACAGGTAGACAAAAGCAGTAGACAGAAAAGTATACAATAATGTAATAATCTAAACCATTGTATGATGGTACATACGAGAGCAGGTGCACAGCATCAGCATGCTGTTTGATGTAGTGCTGTCGATATTTGGAGAAATCATGAAGCATCTGCAGAGGATTAGGGTGAATATTAATACGATCTCTGTCTGTCCAAGTTTCCACAGCAACAAGAACCACCCTGGTGTTCAGCTGTTCCTTGTATATCTGAGGGCAAAGACAGGACAGGCACAGGAGTAGAACACTGGGTCAAACATGCACAGTTAGCCAGTAAGAGTAAAGCGGAAGGACAAGAGGGATAAAGCAGGAGGGAAACATGGGAAACCGTTAGCTGGTAACGTCCTGGATTTCATAAAAATTAATATTCTGATCAACTTAAATTTTATATTTTAGAGGACAAAAAAAACCCCTTGCTGCTCTTTTTTTGAGCTACTCCCTTTTCTTTGAAATTCTCATGTCAAATAATTTCACCACTGAGTTTTGCAGAAAACCTGTACAAAAATCAGCAAAGAAGAAATGTAAAGGTATACTGGGTGATCTTAAAGAAAAAGAAAAGAAAGATCTCAAAAACAAAGAGTAGCCAAAGCCAATTCCTAAGTCAAGATTAAATAATTTCTCAGTTCTCCAGTATATCCAAAATTTAATTCACATAATGCTTGATTTTAATTTATACTATGATCACTTAATGCTACTCAAGTAATGTGAGAATTAAATATGAATATTAATTTTTCTATTAATTTTAATGTCACTGTAGCAATAGACAAGGAAACAACTATCAGGCCCTAATAATTACAAAACAGCTTTATAATATCCATTTTAACTTTGGCATGATACTTCATTCTGAACTAAAACTGCTGCTCTCTTTAGGTTCAGGTCATAAAATGCCAAATTTTATTAACTAAAGTTATTCAGAACTTGCACATCTATAAAAGAAGCATTCCTTATCCACAATCGACAGTCTGCCCATCAAAAGCCTTACACGGGACACAAAGAATAGTTAGTGATCATACTTAGTTATGATCTAAAAGCACCAGATAATTAATACATTGGCTGCCTAATGCATAAAATACAGAAAAGGCAAGTTCTTTTATCACCTCCATGAGGCACCATATTAAATATTTGCTTTTATTATCTTTTTGCCAAATTATACCTACAATACACTAGATGAATTGCAAATATCGTCCTGCAGTTATGACAGATATAATGAATAAACTAGCACTGGCTAGCATGCCAGTCTTTTGTACCAAGGCAGCATTATCCTTATAAAAAAGTCAGTGTATAATATTCAGCTTAGGAAAAAAGGCAATAAATATAGGAGCAACCAGCTGAGCTCAATTTTGTCCAAGAACTTTGAAGGAAAAAAGAATATTAATATGCTTCAATTTGAGGGAGACAGGCAGAGGACATACATAGAAAACGGTTAACAACATGAGAAAAATCAGTAAAACTAAACCCCAGAAACTACATATGGGTGGATCAATAAAGACTTTACTTGTGTTTGCTGGGAGGAAAACCGTATTTCCTGAAGCAAACAGGAAGGAAAGAATGGAAGAGGGGGCAGAGAACATGGAAGCCTCTGAAAGCCAATATCCTTTTCCCAGTAATATATCAGCAAGAAATACAGCCCACTCCCTATGAACACAAGGGAATAACAAGGCAGAAATTCCTGCTCCTTTCCATGCTTTGTTTAAAGAAAAGGCCATTAAGATGTCATTTTGCAAGACCTCTATCAGGGGACTGAATTCTACACTGGAGAGAAGCTGAGTGTTTCTGTATACACACAAAGAGCAAATAAAAATGGAAAGACAAAAGGAATAGTCAGAGAAAGGAAAGACAGATTAAATAACTTTTGTTAAAATGCAGAAGGAATACAAAGAAATAATGATCAGTTGAGAAAAGAATGAAGATGCCACCCTTTCTTTGGGAATGTCCAATATAAATTGCAGAAATATTATTTCAATTATTTTTATCTGCTCTAGTAACTTTTCTTCAGACTACTGGCATTTTCAGACCATTACACAAAAACATTCTGGAACACTTCCAGTATTTCATGTATTATAGATATATTCACCTAAGTTTTCAATATACGTACAGTATACATAATACTTATATGTAAGATACTAAGAACAAATACTGTATTGCTTCCTCCGAACTAAACAAACTGTTGACAATGTTTTGCACTGAATCATATCAGGCAGTTCTATTGGTATAAATAAAGTCACATGGAAAGGAGACTTAGAGTCAGAATTTTGCTAGCCTTTATATTCATCACTACTAGAAAATCCATACTGTTTCAAAATCTATACTGTTTTCACTACAAACTATACTGTTTTCACTACAAACACAGCTCTGAAATGTGTGTGGTCATTACACATACATCAAAGAGGAAAAAGAAAAATCAAATTTTACCACAAATCTTACTTTTAGTTTATACGCTCTATGTGAAATCGTTCTAAATTTAGTCACAGATACAAGTACGGTACCTGTGTCAGTGCCACCCATTTATCATGTACTACAATGGGATTTTGCGTTTTTCAGCTATACAGATTTATAAAGAAGAATTTTTATTCACACTCTCTTCTTCTCTGAGTATGTATGTGTATGCTTTGTGAACCATACTTGCAGCTTCAACCACTTGTAGTTAGATTTGTTTCACAAATCTAAACTCAATTAAATGTCATTTTTAAGCAGTGAATGATACTGAAAGCTTCTTCAAGTTTGAAATCCCTCCCTGCCAAGGGCTAACTCTGGCAGTTGCAAGCTTTGAGAAAAATGCCAAGGATAATTTGGTGGTTTCTTACACATCCACCCCAGGCTATTCTTCTGCAGAGGAACTGGAAATGAGTTTTAAAATGTAATTTTTATGGCTGCTGGGTTTTTTTAATCCTGATATCTGCTAATGTTAACTTTTTTAATACAGTGCTAAACTAACAAAGTCAGTGATACCATTTTCAGAAGAAACATAGATACTTACAGCATCTACAAGGTTTACCACAGACTTCGCAAAATTGTTTGTGTATGCATTTGAAGAACGGTGCTTTTTGAACTAAAAGGAGAAAAAAAAGTAGAACACAGTGAGAACTTCAGTATTTATTACTAATTCTTTATTTTTACAGCAAGAAAGGAAAATTAATATTTTAAGAAAGAGTAACAGAAAAACTCAAAAAGCTTTTCAGATCACAGCCTGTATCTCATATTCAAGAATCCCTCGAAGATAAATGAAGACATGTATGCTAGATAGCCTTTCACATCTATAAAAGGAGCATTTAGCCACAAGAAATACCCTATTTAAAACCACATTTCAAATGTTCGAGACCAAATTACATGTCAACATGAACATAAACATGAGCTCAAAATTGAGAGGATGCTGTACCCATTAAAACTGTGCTTAACCTGATGAGTTAAATATCAGACTATATTAGCCACATTCCATGACTGTAATTATAAGACATGAAGATGAAGTATTTACCACTTGTCCTGTGTACAGCTCTTTGCAAAGGCATCCTGTCTCTACTATAGCACAAGACTTTTATGATGAGTAGCATTAGTTATACCAAAGCACAAAAAGGAAGAGGGAGTGCATGGTAAAAGTAAATATGTGTTTGAATGTGGAAAGAGTTAAGCTGAATGGCTTAAGTTTTAACTGCAATTTTTTTTCCATTTCTATAGACTTAGATGAGCTGTATTACAAGATCTGCTTCCTAATTTCTGTGCAAGTCATTACAATTGTTTCATGTCTTTCCTCATCCTGCCCCACAAGTCCCCTCTGTTCCAAGTCAAATTTTCCAAAGATGCTGCTATGGTATCTGAACATAAATCCATGACTTTCAAAAAACTGTAAAATCATAAACCAAAATGGCATTACACAATATGATTTGCAGGCAGGAAAAATAAGTCTTCAAAATTTCACAGAAATGGAACACAAAATTCCATAGAACAAAGACGGTAAACTGTTACTAATTTCAACTACTGGTTAAAAGCAACAAACCTCATCACAAATCTCATGAGCAAACATTATCAAGTTCCATGAAAGTGTCAGCTATTCCCACTCCAAAACACAGTGCCCAAAAAGAGGCCTTGAAACAAGAGGGTCTGACTATTCTCTGAGCAACTGAGTAGCTACTCTCATCAAGTTAGACGATTAACTACCTTCCCAAATTAGAATTACAAAACAGACAAATCCTGTTTACCAGAATTATGCTTGGTGCAAAGGTGAAAGTAAAACTGGAAGACATATATGCTTTTAAAAGTAAATAATCTGTTTCTCAAATTCAAAGTCAGAAGTGACACACACACTATATCATAACAAATTTTCCATCCCTTTACATTCCAGTTATTTTTGCACAAGCAATCTAGTTTTATATGGACAAAATGCCACAAAGATAACAAAAAGTTCATCAAACTTAATGATGACACTCATTCATTTGACTGTAGGAAGATAAATTTTTTACATATCCAGTTATTCACTGTTAAGTTCCACAATGCTTCAGCACATCCACAGCAGATTTTAATACCCAAAGATCCTACAACATAGGTTTGCAGAGACCCCCTCCCCTATAACTATTCTCAAAACAAAGCACTTCCAGCTACAGCACTAGTAGGTGCATAGGACGTACAGAGTATCCACATCATGGACTCTGCTCCCCAGGGAACCATGATACGAGAACAAAGTAACGGGGCAGGGGGGAAGGATGGCTTTGTTTTTTTGTTTTGAGCTAATCCCAAACTTTCCCAGAAGTGGAAAGGTAAAATAATATGCTTTGGAAAATGTTCTTTGTTTTCATGAAAGTATTTAAATGCCCAAATAAACAGGAATATACAACATATTCTGTTTAAACACAGCTCCTAAAACAGAAACTAAGTCAGTAGAAAGTGCAACAACCTAATTAAATATGTTGAGCTGTGTCTTTAGTGTTACAGGAAGGGAAAATTTTGTGAAAATACATAGTATTAACCACTTAACAATCCAAGGACCAGAGGTTTAAGATACTTCTTCCAACACAGAACCTTGCTGCAGGAGAAACCTGCCCTCTACTGGTAAGCAGAAAACCTTAAAAGTACATTTAGTGAGCTCCTGGATTGGCAGGCTTTAACTCATAATAGTGAACACTTCCTTAAGTATATCCATTTTATTCCTTGAAAAGAATTATTATCTGCTTCTGTGTCACTGACAACTCTGAAGCAAAAAAATCCTGAATGCTTGTGGTCTGAAGTTCTAACAAATTAAAGCCTGAGTGGAGACAACAGTTAGTGTCTGTAACAAGTGTACTGAACAGGATGGTTGTCTGTCCTTCAAGCATGTCTGTAATACAAGAGGCCAGAGGAAACAGACATAGAAATATTATCTCTTCAGAAGGAACACCAACCACAGACCTCAAACGAGACAACAAAACGTCTGCAACTGCAGTTACTGTGCCCTACCCCTAAACAACTAACACATGAGCACTCTTAAAATAGTTTCCTACCAAGTGGCTTTACAAGTGAAAACAGTTGAAGAAATTTCTGCCCGACTCTTTCCATCAATTCAAATTCCCCCTCCATTGCTGAATTGACACAGATTAAATATAGGTAATTTTTGCCCAGACTATTTCTATGATTTATTAAAACAGATGAGGGAAGGTTGTATTATATGTCTATTCAGCAATGGAACAAGTACAAAATACTGCATCCCATTCTGGTATCTGCTATTTCTGGCTCTTTAAAATCATCCTTCAGTGTTGACAAAAGAGCCCACAATAACATAAAGCATTGGGAAAACATGCAGTAGAGCGAGAGATGCAAGGAGCTCTTACAGAAACTTAGAAGTTTATTTTACTTGCCCATAAAATACGCAGAAACTGTTTTATCAACAGAATTTTATTTTAAAAATGGTCTTGCTCACACAGAAGCAAAGTCATACCAAGAGTTGATGATCCTTATTTGCCTTTTAGTCAATGTAACAGCTGAGAAAGCTAAGCAAGACCAAGGCTCAGAACAAGGCACAATCAGGTGGGTTTTTTTGAGTAATTCGCTGTTGGTTGCAATATATTCTTTGTTACTAGAAAACTTTTAAACCTACACTGAGTATTTTTCCATAAGAGATATGCTTTAGTTAAAAAGTAGCTATTGGACTTAAATTTGTGATGCTTTTCAAAAAGGGTCTATAAAATAGTTGTTTAGGTTTACAAAACTTATTACTCTCCAGGCCCCCTCCTGATTTTTCGTAAGGGTAACACACGGACACTTTGATAGCCTTACTTGGTATAATTAGTGAAAGTAGTAACATTTAAATAACAAAATGTCACTTGGTCTGATTTTTTTCCAGTGATCCCTCAAGACAAAAAGGAAAAAAATGGAGGCTGCTTTCCCCCCCCCCCCCCCCCTTTTTTTTTTTTTTTTTAAATCAAATGACAAACACTTTCTGAATTGAGCAAACAACTTACCTTGTTCTTCATTATGAATTCTGTTTATGAGTATGGCATAGCCAGGAAGAACAATCAGATAGTTTTGTCTATATGCTTTCCTGCATTAAAATTTAAGTTAGTAAAACTAAAAGTAACAAGTTCTGACCTCTTTCTTTATTACTTTAAGGACAGGATATAATTTTAGAATGTTTAGTATGTTTATTCTGGACATAAATGTTTTGTTGCTTTACTTTGTTGGTTATGGGCATATCAAATTATCCATATGATACCAAAGTGTTTCAGACATATTTTGAATATATAACTGCTGTAGAAAATCTTCGGTAACATTAGGCATTATTAGGTACTATGGCCTATACTCTGTCTTACAGTACAAATGTTAACAGCTGCTGATAAACAAAATACTTGACCCAAAGTAGCTGATGCAGCACAGTGCTGTACATCAACCTACGAATTATAATCAAAAGGAAGACTACCACTGAATTGATATACTTACCATTTTATGGTCATTGACTATCATGAGCTCGAGATATTTCATTTCTTCAAAGATACCACGAGATGCCTGACGGATTAAAGAAATTCTCTGAGAAATCATGAAGATGTAGCTATTTTAAAAAATAATTGCAGCTGATTTAATAGGATTACACATAAATATTATGTAGGATGTATAAACCTGTAAAAACTGGGTGAGACATTCAGCTAGGGTAAATAATCATAGCTCCAGCAACTTAGTGAGTTATGACAGACACTGGCTGAGAACCTGAGTCACATCATTAAGAATGTTTAGAGTCTATTCTTTTTGGCTCAGCGCAGTAGCCACCACTGCCTCCCTACTCTCTTATTTTCACAGAGGAAAAAAATCTGAAACACTAAAAACTCTTGGTCTACTGTCCGATTCATCACAGATTTAATGAGGAAGTTACAAAAAATAGATGCGTCCTCAAAAAATATGCTGTGGATTGTGCAACCCAGTGAAGAAATACAGATTAATCTTCTTTAACTCAATTACTCCCCTAGCTTACACATATGCATGTGTAGATCCTGAGGACTGCCCACTTCTGTTCTCTAAGTAACCCAGTTCTGGGTGTCCTCATTTGGATTTTTAATTTAAACATGCTACTTAATGAGCCAAATGAAAATGAAGTCAGATACCTACAAAGTAGGAAGACTTAATTCAAAATTATTCTTTATCCTCAAGCAGACTCAAAACTTAAAATTCTCATTTTCACTACTAAACTTCCATTCAATTGACGTATAGTATTGCCATCACTTTAGAAAGCTTATCTACTTTTCTCCAAATATTCTATTTTTAAAAAATAATCTCTTTTTATCATTTGATAACTGTATTATGAGACAACATTAAGCTACCAAAAATATTTGTTTTCTGAAGCCTATGTTCTCTCAACATTAAAAAATTCGGAAATTAGTGGGTTTGGTTTTGTTTTTATAAATGGTCTTAACTCGGGGTCACACTACTTACTGCTCTCTTTCTTCTCTTTCTCCTCAGCCACTGTAGTTCAGACAGAAAGGGCCATTCAGAACTAGATTCAGTCTCTGTACAAATTACAATTTAAGAATTTCATGGCATTATTTTAAACTACTTATATACACTGTCTAAATCAAAAGTAGATTAAGATCACTAAAATTAGAAGAACCTTTGCTATAGAAAAGTTCATTTTTTAAAATACACAAAATGTGAAATAACTCATATCAAAACTCAAGTAATTTAGAAATCTAAAGTTAGAATTAAAGCATGCTAAGGGAGGTAAAGAGATTGTAACCTGGGCTTAGAATATACATTTTCTTCCATTTTGTGTCCTCAATAGCATTACTATCACTGATTAAATTAAATGATTTGCAGAAGAAAGCTAAATACAGATCTCCGTGGATGGAAATCTTTCAGCTGCTTTTTGACAACTCTAAATTCCATTGCAATAATTGTGAAAAAAAGTCACGTTAGTATCTATTTTTCAAGTTTTTCTAAATAATCAGCAATTTTATATAGACTGTTAACCTCATATTCAAATTTTTCAAGTTATATATACAATTATTTCCAATACTGAAAAACTCATAACATAAGCAAAAACATACCAAGGTCCTGCAACTGCTTGGAGGATTGTGTTCCATAAGTTCTTTGGATGATATGTGGCCTACTTTTACCTTCCTGATAAGAAAAATATGTGACATTTTCTTCTAATTAATAATGTCAAGTAAAAAGTGAGACACTTCTTTCAGTATTTATCATTTTTATTATTTTTCCATAAAATGCAAGCAAACATAGTACCAATTTGGCATAGTACTAATTTGAAGCAATCTATTTACAATCGTGAGCAAATCATGGAGTTTCTCTGCTTCAGCACATTTACTGGCCTACAAAGTATCACAGATGTCTTTGAGATTACTTGAAAAGAGTCCTTTAAAAGCCTTCCTGTTAGAGAACACAGACCGTTTATTCCAACAAATCAAATCAGAGGTAAATATCTAGCTGAAATCTTCCTCCCACAGATGAAAAGCAACTATTATTATTTATGACAAAAATGTATCTTTCTAATTGCAGCAAAATGCAAGAAACTAATCAATATACTATCCATAAGAGGATTGTTTCACCCTGTTTTATTGGTGTATACAACACTTAAAAAGGAGAAGACTTTTAATGCATATTTTCTGTAGAAGTCTGACATGCCCCAAATTATCACATTTTGGTATCTGCTCTAGAAAACAACTATCTTTTCTTCCATAACACCTCTGCAGTACCTGCCAAAACAAGCAATTCTTTTAAAAGGGTAGGATCCTACTGTTCTGTCGCTTCCATAAGAAATACATAACACACTGAAGGAAAATACTGCACATTTTTGCTGGGTTTTTCGGGGGGGGGGGGGGGGGGGGCCTTTATATAGTATCTACTATATTTAAGATTAATCAAGCTGAATAAACTACATGCTGAAGGCTGTGTCCAAGCTATTTATCCCACGTAGTAAGATCACAAAATGAGTCTCTGAAAGCTCTCTGTAGCTGTATTATTTTGATCTTCAGTAGTTTTGAGAAAAATATTCATCTCATCTGTCTTCTTATCATTTAGAATTCCACTTGAATCCTCAACACAGTTGGCAGAGAGTATCTCACTTTTATAACTAGAACTTTTGCTCTACTTCCAAGTTTTACTGAAATATCACACAGAGAGATCTGGGCTTCCTTTGTCCACACAAGCAAGAAAACAGTTTAGTCAAATTCTCCTCTGCCTACTACATGGATACCATTGTATAAATATAATCTCCATGAATTTACTGTATCCGTGCTGTCAGTTTTCAGGCTTACAACCTTTATGAATATGTGCTACATCAAAATGCATTACATAGCTTAACACGTGACATGTAATAGTGATCCTGAGGAGACTGAGAAATCTTTTTGGACATAATATTTTCCCATGTCTCTACAGTTTCATTTAGAGCCCAATAAATGACCATCCAAATGACACTAATTCCTCTGAATGTTGATCCAGTTTCTTTGAAAGTGTCAGCAGTCAAAGATTTTGCAGATCTTTCTTTGGACTGCAAGTTCACAGTCACTAAAACGTACCAGTTCTGCAGCATTACTTTATTTGTCATATACTGGTAATTACAAGAGCAAAACAAGCTTGAGAACTGCGACACAGCATCTGAAATATATCCTACAGACCAAGTGGGATACAAACCTTAAGAATTCTCTGTCTCAATGTTGCAGAATTATTTCACTGAAAATCACTCAAATCTGAACCATTCAAGAGGTAGAAATCTACCTGGTTTTACTACTATCTATGAAATTGAGTCAGTTCGATTAAGAGCTAAAGTTTTAGGAACATAAAACATGAAACTTAATATGAAGTACAAAAATAATAATAGTTAGCAAGATATTTGCATAAATAAAGACCTAACATGCTGATCCAGCATAGTCATACATTTGAATATGCTGGATCAGAATAATTTAAGCTATACAGCGATGACTGACTTAACACATATGAAGTGCAAGATACCCACTAGATATCTACTTCATTAAGCTCTGTGTGGAAACATGGTAGGTCAAGAGCAATGTGATCCAACTATTTAGAAGGATGAATAAATGACTTCCAGAGGTCCCTTCTACAAATTTATAAATCCTTTAGTTCAAGTACTAGAGCAAATTCATAAACGCTTTTTGACAGTCCATAACCATTTGCTATGGAAACAGTCTTATTAGTCTACTCCCAACATCTAAATGATAACAATAAGTAGGAAAAGAAAGATTAAAGAAAAGCAGAGAAAAATCTTAGGTAATTCATACTTACACATTTCTTGCCATAAATAAATTCCAAGCAAGTGTTTTAAAATACTTTTGGTTTTCATATGAATGCATGAGAGACGTCACTTATTTATTAATTTATTCTAATACTTTTATTTGCTATTCCTTGAGCACTCTTTCCCAAAACAAATAAATTAGATACAAATAAACTTACTGCACTGTGAGTCAGATCCATCGGTTCTATCAAGTACAAATAAGTATTATCTTCAAACATGCCACTAAAACATGGAGAAAAAGAAGTGATGTTAAGGATTACAGGGTAATTAATTTGACTCCAGGATATGATTTTTGATGAGACAAAACCAAACTTAGGGCTGAAAACCTGATCAATATTAAAATAAACTCCATGTATGCTCATTATTACCACATGTGTCTAAAGCTAAGAATATTTTTAAGAGATCAGGTGCATTTTAATGAACTAACACTTAATGTAATGGCAATGTAATGAAAAAGCATCAAAAAGAATAAAGATTTGACCTTGGAAAGAGGAAGTCCTAAGACATACATTAGCAGACAGAATATAATCAACAGCTGAGTTGCACTTAACAGTAACTAATCCTAGAAAGGATTAATTTCTTACATTTTTTCCTTGTACAATCTAACAAAAAGATCAATTTTTCTATTGGCTGACAGAATTATACATGAGCAATACTGAGCATGCAAACTGCTTAAGTACAATTCTTGTTTACCCTTTACCACAATAAGTCATCTGGTGAAATATTTATTTGCACTTACCATATTCAAAGGTTTCATGAGACAGCATCAAAATACTTTAATCCCAGTGATACTAAAAAAAAAATGCTAGTAGTTTGCCATAGCTGGTACTGGCATTTCAAAGCACCAAAAATCTTTGGGCCTGTAGAGTTTCAGACCCTTACATATTAAAAGATAATATTAAAGAGTAATATTTAGTTAATAGCCTTGTTTGAAAAATGGGAATGTGTACTTACTGAAGTCCATTACAAGTTGAAAGAGCAACTTTGGAATCCTTGATACCTCTGATATTTCCATGGTAGTAACAATGCTCTCCACCCTAATAATGTTTAAAAACAAACAAACAAACAATCACACAGACACAAAATTACCCTGATTTAATGTCTGTTGCTTAAAACCAAGGCAAAAAAAAAGATTCAACACCTTGCATTAGGTAAAATTTCAGAGAAAACAGTGAATTGCTAAAAACCAATGACAAGCCCTAATTGCTTGTAAGAAAAAAACCTGTGCCCAGTAAAGACTAATTCATAACTTTTCAAGCCATAACATGGGTTATTCTTCTGCTTAAGTCACAGCATTCTTGACCTTTTAAGTGCATTTCTTTGCTGTACATTGATTCTGTAAAAATGTTACATAATGCAGGTTACATGAGCATTGAAATGTTTCTTGATACCTTCCAGGTCTATTAAAATTACAAGTGATATAGTTATCCATCAATCACCTGGCATGTATTTGGCTTAGATCTGGGTTCTACCAATTTTGTCTCACTAAAAATTTATCAGTTAAAATGTTACATCATTAGACTGTAGTTACCGATATCACTAATGATGAATGAGCCAGAAAGTGAATCTAATTTAGTAACACTGAAGTGTACAGTTGCATTTTTACTGTACATATGTTAAAAGGGTACTAAAGTCAACTCTTGTTTTTAACTGCATAAAATTCCAAATAGATGCAAACCCCAAATTATTCAAAAAATGGCAAGATTTTTATATTTCTCTAAGTCAGCAATTGTGTTTTAGACAAGGTCCTGCCTTTTGTTTAATAAATAATAACATCTAAATTACCTACAAGTGTGTTTAAATGTTAGAGACTTAAAAAAAAAAAAAACCCAAACAAAATTAGGCAAACTACATCCAAAACTGTGATCCAAAACCTCAGTTCTCAAAGGCCCTAATGATATGATGTAAGCAAGATCCTGCTGAATGCTGCAATACAAGATTTGAAGAGCCAGCTGATGCAGGGATTAGGCTGAAAAGAATTAGTGCAAAATGTGCTACCAAATGGGTGTGCAACGAAGCTCTGTGTGTAGTCTTTCGCTTCTCTGCAAGAATGTAAGGGAAGCTGCAGTATGTGTACATATGGGGGGAAACAGGACACAGCAGGAGACCAAAATACCACAGAGAACAACTTGGTACATACTTTAAAATCTTAAAGTTCTGATCCAGAAAAGCCTTGCTCAGATGCCAACTAAACCCTAGTGAACGCTACATGCTTTCCTATGAACAGAAATGCAGGTGCCCTTGATCTGCCTGGCTTTTATCATAGAATGAGCTAAGTTGAGCTCTCCTCTCCTGAAGCAACTAGCTCATATCTAAGCTCTCCTTAAAGTGGGCAGAGAACTTCAAGCATGCTCAGAACACACCTAAGACAGAGTGACAAGACGGATCCTCACAAAACAGAGTTGCAGTGGATTTTTGAAAATACTGACCATTACATGCCAATGCCCGTCTCTGGCTAATAACTACAGCACTCATCCCAGGTTTCCCAACTGCTGAACAATTTCCAGGGTCACCTTGAAGAGAGTCAACTCACATCTCCCCACCTTCTAAAAGTGTACTCTACCTGCACAGTTACTGGCTACTTTGTGTCAGAGCACCCTACATGAATCAAACTGAAGCAGTCTCATTTTGTGGAACTCACAAAGATTTATGAAATCAGAAAGAGGGAGAATGATTCTGTATCCCAAGGCTAGGAAGCTTCTAGGAGGAGATCTTAACAGCAGACTACAATAAATAAATGATTCAGATGAGAAATTCAGAAATAATTGTTTTGTCAAAGCATCATCTACTCACATGCAAGAATTACTAGTGTTAAAATAATGTCATGAAGATCTTTTTAAATCTCCAATTTTTTTACTTTCTGTACTTGCACAATTGGTGATTTTTCTCTATATGTTCTAGTTTTCTTCTACGTACTAAATTTGTATGATTTAATTTCTCCGTGTAATGAAAGTAGAGTTCTACGGCACTATCAAGAGTTTTGTATTATTTGACTGTAAATAACTAAGTATGTATAAAAACTTAAAATCTGTAGCACATTTTTAGGATTACATACTATAGGAAGCCACATGGCAAATTATTAAATCCTTTATCTGTATTCTGATTCTGATAGAAATTAATTCTATCCTTATTGCTGGACAGTAGAATTACTAATCCCTAAAATTCCGTAAATTGTTGAGGAATAAACTGATTAGACTGTTAGAGGCTTACAGAAGTACTTATCGTGACTAAGGGTAAAATAAACTAGCTTCATAGGAATGTTTCAACTGAGTAAACAAGAAGAGTATATTTATTTTCTATTAACAGAAACAAAGCATCAAGAGCACCATTAACAGACTGTTCAAGCTATGAATGTTCAGAAAGAAACCAAGAAACACTACGTTGACATTTCTAAAGAAAATGGACTAGTGAATTTAGAAGCTGTTAAATACCAGAAATGCTGCTGCTATTTGTGAGTGAAGCTGAAATGAGGAAAACTGAATGATACTAATTTACCTTATTTAAGTAGTTGGTCTTTAGTGACTATCAACAATAACACCAGCTAAACTAAAGATAAAAAGTATTCTCAAAAAGTTTTATTAAAAACCCTTAGGTGTAGTTGTGTCTCTCACACACTGTTTGAAAACTGTACCATTCATCATCAAAACATTCTTAATTCTGGTGTCATGTCATCTGAATTCCAACAAGTATATTGGACCCATTCCTTCTGCAATTATTATAACTGAAAGTAGTACCAAAAAAGTAAATGCTTTTTGTTTAAGTATGCACAGCATTATTTCCATTTTGTATCTTATTTAATGTTAATCAGATTCTGAATGAAATTCCTAACAGACTACTGTGCATTATAAAGTCAAAGTACTACACAGAAAGCAATCACTACATATTTACCTTTCCATTAGTAAGAATGCCTAAGCCATGCTTTTTAACAACTAAATCGTGCTTATGTTTCTCACACAAGTAGCTTTTCAAGAATTTTTTTTAGAAGACAGTCATCTGAGTGAAGAAATTGCTGTTTGCTCTTCAGTGTTTTCACTCTTGTAATAGACTACCTCTTTTTACAAAATACAATACTTTTCATGAAGATATCACTTCTTTACATCCGCATCAGGAAACAAAACAATCTTTTACTTACTCAGGTCTAAAAAGGATTGTAAGATACTGCAAAAGACCAGGATACAGTCCTTATTTATTTCCTACACAAATTGTGTGCATATGTTCGGAACTTATAATGAAGCCTTTTACAGATTAATGTGACCTCAGGAGCTCTTTGTTGTTTCTAAATAAATCAATTCAGAAAACATCCCCTGGGAAGTTTGGATCAAGTTACTTCAGCATGCAAAGGTAGTCCATTTGCTGAGTCTAAAGTTCTAATATAATTTTCTAGTCAGATTCATGATTCAGCAACCGCAGTGCTCAATGCTAGTGCTGCAGCTGACAATTGCATGAGCTTGTCTAAATGCCAAAGGGAATTGTTTTCTTGCATCATTTAGCATTTTTGCCTGTTCTGCAGAGCACTGAGTCTTAACGAAACAACTTCCTTAGTATGTTACATGGAAGAAAACAAAACAGTATTTTGCAATAATTATATTGCAATGTAATTGTTTAATTTTGCCCTAATCTGTGATATATTATTTTATTTGAGATTCTCTATAACAAGGGCAAAATAATAAACTATACATCTAATACTTGGACAAACAACAGTCCTGATTTGCTGAAGGCATAAATGCAACTTGAATGCTTGCTTTCCTCCACTCTAAATAGAGATGTATTTCACATGTAATAAGCTCACAAGTATTCCAGCGTTCATGCCAAATATGAAAAAAGCCATTCCCTGAAAACATAGTTTATAACCTTCCTAGGAACCTACCAGTCCTCATTTTGTTACTACAACAAACAAAAGACTGATCTGGTTCCCTTAGGGCTGAACTATCTTGCAGAACTTTAATCTTTTTGTCTTTGGATCAATAGCCTATGGCACTGCATTCAATTTGGGAGCTAGTTTGACAAATGTAATTAATTGGATATCAAGCAATATGCTGGTTTTGTAATAACCGAAACCTTAACCTCTGGAATTAAGTCTTTAATTTTCTGTTTCACAACTGTGTAATTCTTGCAAAGAAAAGTCACTGCAAGTTTTTTTTGTTTGTTTGAATGTCTTACATTACCATTATGCTTTCCCCTTGCACGTTGTGCTAAGGTCATGTAAATTATTAACGAGGACTATACTGATGGTGACTTCAACCCCTCCACCTCCTTCATTTTACAAGATGTAATTGTTCTGGCAGTATCTGGACCATCTTCACTACTACCACCTACCACTGCCTACCCCGCACCCTGACAGACAACTTTCCTTTTTTGTACAATTCTTCTTGCATTACTGAGGCATCCTTACAAGATGAGATCACAGTTACCTTGTATGTGTGGAAAAAGGCTTCTGTGTGTCTTGCAAAACTTTTTTTCTTTTTTTAACATTTTATTGGCATTGCTCCCTCAGAGAGACCATTCTGACATGTTTTAAGAGCACAATACCTTAGAAAACTTTGGTTTTCCATCTTCATAGTGAATCTCCACATAATTGGAAGATAACAAGTCACTGTCAAAGAAAGGAAAAATCAAGATGAGAAAAATCTAAATATTCTTTCTACTGCTGTGGGTGGGGTTGGGTTTTTTTGTTAGAATTTTCAAACCATTTTTTCTTTTGTTGTATATTAGTTTAACAAAATCAAGCAGCTTGTGTCCAGTAAATGGTTTGCTGGTGCACTGGAAGTCAGCGTGTTTCAGAAGGGGGAATTTCATTCTGCAATCTAATCCCCTGTATTTTAGCTTTACAATTACATTATCAGCCTTTTAAATATGCAAAAAAAATCCCATGGCTTTAGAACTTTGTTTGCTGCCAGTAACTGGTACTGACAAAATGTACGTTTAGTTCATTATTGTTTTCAGTTAAATTTTATATTTTATCTAAAAGTTAAACAGGGTATATATAAGGCTGAACAAATACATACACAACTGTTCTGAAGACAAGAGCATATACTTTACCTGTAATTCACTTTCACAACTGCAAATACTCAGTTTTTTCTAAAAACAGTAACGCTGTCCCAGTTTTGGCTGGGATAGAGTTAATTTTCTTCCTAGTAGATGGTACAGTCTGTTTTGGATTTAGTGGGAGAATAATCTTGATAACACACTGATGTTTTAGTTGTTGCTAAGTAGCGCTTGTCCTAAGTTAAGGATTTTTCAGTTCCCCATGCTCTGCCAGCAAGCAGGTGTACAAGAAGCTGGGAGGGAGCATGGCCAGGACAGCTGACCCCAACTAGCCAAAGGGATATTCCATACCATAGAACATCATGCTCAGTATAGAAACTGGGGGGAGTCGGCCAGGAGGGGCGGATTGCTGCTCAGGCATCGGTCAGCAGGTGGTGAGCAACCGCATTGTGCATCACTTGTCTTTTCTTGGGTCTAATTTCTCTCTTTTTGTTATATTCCTTTTAATTACAATTAGTATTGTTATTATTTTTTTATTATTATTATATTTTACTTTAGTTATTAAACTGTTCTGACCTCAACCCACAAGTTTTATTCCCCGCCCTGATTCTCCTCCCCATCCCACTGGGAGAGGGGAGGAGTGAGCAAGCAGCTGTGTGGTGCTTAGCTGCTGGCTGGGCTTAAACCACGACAGTAATGTTCTTAAAAGAAAAACCAAACCAAAAAACACTAAAAAAAAACCCCAACACACACACACAAAAACCCAAACCATACTACCCCTTTTCTTCCTTTCACTTTTTCTTCTCAGATTCTTTCCTCACTCTTATTTTTTTTCCTAACTCTGGCAAGACAAATTTCTGAAGCATAAAAATTTCCCTTACTGTATAATTTACGGTTCAAATTTCTTTTTTAAAAATAAGATTAGCTAGCCTGTACGTATCCTGGGATAACTTCAGTGTCCCATTCACTTCTCACCCCGTTATAATCCGGCTTGCAGCATAGCAGCCCAGGGAGAACAAAGCAGTTAAATATGTTAACTGGCCCCATCATAGATGCAAGATAAGCATTTTACTTAATGGGATCCAGAATTCTCAGCATTTTTCAAGCCTCTAAGAGCCTGTACCCTTCCAAAAAAAAAAAAAAAAAAAAAAAAAAAAATCATTAAAGGGTCTGACAGTGGTACATATATCAAAACAAAAATACTGTTGCCATGAATAAAAACCATCATCGTTATGGAAGCCTGGTCTGGCAAAATAGCTCTGATGGGAATTCACGACTAAGAACAACTTAAGATAATGGGTATCTCAAACTCAGTTTAGGCTATTAGCAATCCTGGTAACACTTCAACTCTGGGACTACTGGCTCATAAAATCAATTCTTCATGCTGCATTTATCAGGCACTACACTTATCAGAGAAGATCCTGCAGAAGTCAGTTACCAGTGATTCTCTTAAAAGTCCTTTTTCATGGAACTGAGAGACCACATTATGGCCACTCTATGCCTGCAAAACCAACACTAATAGCCATGAATAATTACTGAAGTCTCATCATTTGTCTTAACCTTCATTTTGATAGCAATATTTAATAGATATATTTTTAAAGTCCAGATTTAAAAGTAAATTCAGTTGCATAAAATCATTTTAACTTTCTCTATTTGTATCATAGTAAGCTATAAATTTTCTGCAAGAGAAAACAAATGCTTTATAAATAGTATAAGTGTAAATGCAATGCAAACAATCACTTCTTCAATGTGGCAAGGTTTGAAGCTTCTGAAGAGTATTACGTATCAAAGCAATTAAACTTTAGAGTGTTGATAATGTCCTTTTCTTCTCTGCATTTTTCTTACTTATTATGAAGCATAAGAACTGCCATCATCGGTACTTAATAGGATGGTATAGACAAGGCTAGAGGTAACTGACACAAGTAGGAAAATGGATAATTCTGATTAGATATAAGTTTAAAAAAATCACTGAGGATGGTTAAACACTGAAACTATGCTCAACTTGAAAGGGCCTTGACCAGATTCAGATTTTTACAGGCACTTCTGCTTCAATTCATGGAGGCCATTTGGTTTCCTCAAACGAATTCCAGCATCAGCATTTATCTCCCTGTTTCAAGCTTACACTCTCACACCCCCTTTTTTGCCCTCTTCTACTAACCTTACCCGACTGATCTCAGAACTGCTTTCAATGCTATCTATCTAGTACTTTTGGCATCTCTTAAGACTCACAGTAGGTGATTTCCCACTGTGTCTACTGTGGGACTCACAACTAACTGTAGTTTAATTACACCATTTGTCTCTCAGATTTATCCCATTACATGTGATGTAAGAACTCCTCAAAATTTCCTTAGTCCACCCTTTGCAGGATCTTTCCAGAGTTCTGTGCTCTTTTCTTGGATTTTGGTTGAACTTCCGTTACAACCCAGCTGTTTCCTTCATCTGCCAACTGCTTCCATTTTTTAGCTTCTCATTACTTCCAACTGCAAAGGGATACCTGATTCAGGTAGTATATACTGTGTCCTACATGATAGGATATCTAACATGACATGCTTGTGATGGAATACTCCATATATATATATGTTACAATTACAAAGCAAGGATGCAGCAGACAGCAGCTTTTCCAGCAGATCCTACAATTTTCTTATTGCTGACTTCCCAACGCTACTGTCCTGTGGGATCTGCTAGATACAAGGCACATCAATGAAATTCTCCATACTGAACAAATTCTCTCCAAAGAAAATTGAGGCCTGCTATTCATGATATACTTCCCAAATGCCATGCTGTAAACAAAACGCACCTTTAATTCGTGAACCACCCTTTTGCCAAATGTAACACAGTATCTGCCACCTAGAAGTTGGAGTAGAAAATGTATGATAAGGCTATTGTCTTTCACAAACCCGTTCTCATCCTACCCTGTAACAGGGTATTTAACACTAGTTTCCAATCACTATTATGTTCTTAAGCTTGTCACACATAACCACCAAAATACTGCAAGGGCATTTTTCTCTTAACATTTCACACAGGGCAGCAAGAATTTTGAACTTTCCATGAAAAAAATCAGTCAGCTTCTCTTTAAACTGTATGCCTCTACCTTGGTAGGTACCTGATTTTTGCCAGGTACCTTGTATCACTTATTCTTATTTCAAGTATCTGTCTGCACTAGCAAACATCCGAAAGAACACCTTACTTCCAATCATCCAGAAATCCCTCAATATATACTGCTAATCTGAGACAACCATAATCTTATTCAGGGGAAGAGGGGGCAACGGGAGGAGGACAGTACATTTGCAGGCATTTTCCAACATGGCTCTGCTAGTACACACAACGAGTTGCTTCTATAATAAAGCTAATCTCAGTCCTGTTCTCTATATTCATAACAAAATCAGTACAAACACATTTGTAACTGTGCTTAGAAATGGTTAGTATTGAAATGTGATATTGCAGAGAGTAGTCTAGAACTGAAAAATCCAGAAAAATTGTTCCACTGTTGCCGCAAAGAAAAAGACAGGATTTGGGTAAGGGAGTTTATTCTATATTTTGCTAAAGCTCCAGGAATAACAACAGCTGTAAAAATAAGCATAAAACTGCTTATTGTCTCTAGCAAAAATTTTATATGTTATTAATGCTGACAAATCTGACAAAAGACAGAAGAAATTATTTAAGGACAAGGAAAAAAAAACAAACAAACCAAAAAACACTTAACCAAAATAACTTTCAAACATTTTTTCCAACATGAAAGACAGATACACAGAGGAGCACTGTAATTTCACCAGTAGGTGTGATGGGATCCTTTACGTAAGTGGCATTAAAAAGAAAGGCCTGGAATACACCGATTAAGAGCTCATGTAGAAGTACGAGTACCTGAGGAATGAGATACAGAACTCAGGCATAAAGTAGGGAGTCTCCACATCACAAAATAATTCTTATTCTTTCGTTATAATTTACAGAATGCCTAAATTTACCTCTGAAAGGTAGCCCTCAATTTTAGAAAATACATTTGTGCCTCATCTGCACTGGACTGTGTTTTGTCACCTTTCAGTTGATTCATTTACATTTGGATTGAGCAGAAATGCACCCAGTACAGCAAATTTGTTTTTCAATATTACGACCACCAGAAACAGTGCAAGCTTTAATTGAAACAATTATGCAAGTCATTATCACATCAGACAAAAGCATATTTAGGCTAGTGACACATTAGTGTGATGCTTTACAATGCACACATCAAATTGCAACATGCTGAACGAACTCATGAAAAAGAAAATTTTAAGTCTACTGTGTCCTTTTCTATAGTTCCTCCCACCCTGCCTTGTTTGTCTTGGGTAATTGTTTTTATTAAGCTGTCCTGCACCAGCTCTTCTGAGTTACATTGAGAGATGTAAAATAAGCAGCAAAGGGATATGCCATTCCTGGTAATTGCTGCCTTTGAAGACACAGACCAGCTGTTAAAGCAAGTAGCAGATGCTTTCTGAAGAACCCACATCCACTTCCCCAGCACATATTTCACTGCTGCTGTTTTCATTAGCAGGAGAGCTGCAGTGTGAAAAGTAGCTTACCTCAGCTGGCATCTAACCTGATGAAAAGAATTGATTTTGGTAGGTAAAGGCTATG